ACGAACTGAGCCACCCAGGCGCCCATGACTCCTCTTTTAAAGACCAAGATCTTATTTTGCTTCTAATACTTTTCATTACTCAGAGCAGCTATTTGTGCCCAAAGCAATCAGTAGCAATTGGTAAACCTACAATAATAAATCAGAAACTATTTAAATAATATTTAAATTAAATATTTCTTTTTTTTTTTAAAGATTTTATTTATTTGCGAGAGAGAAAGAGCAGGAGCAGGGGGGAGGGGCAGAGGGAGAAGGAGAAGCAGACTCCTCTACTGATCAGGGAGCCCAATGCAGGGCTCAATCCCAGGACCTGAGGTCATAACCTGAGCTGAAGGCAGATGCTTAACTGACTGAGCCATCAAGGCCCCCCTTAAATATTTCTTATAAAAAGAAAATTGAAATTTTACACATATGATCTGGCTCCTGCCTGACTTCTACTACTTTCTGCCTCACTCATGATACTCTAGTGAATTTGTTCCCACCTCAGGGTTTTTGCATTTGTTGCACTTTTCACATAAGTGAATCTGTGAATCTGTGATATTCAGATACTCACATAAGTGGACCCTCTTGTTACTCAAGAAGTTACTCAAGTCTCAGCTCAAGTATCTGCTCCTTGAAGAAGTATTTTCTGTTCTCTCAATCTAGAGTATCTACCACACCAACCTCTCACCCTCTATGGTAGTTAACACTATTTGAAATAATCTTGTTTCTTTTTTTGTTTTCCTGGTCAAAAACTTACACTTAAGCTCAAACAGACCAGGGGTTTTGTCTTCATGTCTGTTTTGTTCATTGTTTCATATCCACCACATAGAACCATAACAGGCTGTGAAGCCCTATGGGCAGGAATGGGAGTAGTCAGACCTGAGTGCAGTCAATAAGGAGATATATTATCTATAGAGAATTTAAAATCATTAATAAAACAAGAAAAATCATCCTTCTTTTTATTATTACCATGTACTGGAAATTCTAAGCAATGTTGCTAATAAAATACTCCTCCCTTAGAAAACTTTTTTTTTTTTTTGGTCTAAGTTCTAAACAAATCTTTTGGTTACTATATGTAACCCTCAAATTAGCACATCTTGATAACTTATTCTTTAACAAACATTGTATTCTCCAGTGAAACTTAATTTGGAGAATTCCAAGTTATACAGTCAGTTTCCAAAAACATGTTGACTGAGCTATACAAATTCTTTTAGAGAATAAATTCACAAAGTTTCCAAATTGTTGGAGCTCAACTTTGGTGTAGGTTGCATCTCTGCCCCTGTGGTACTACATATCCTTGCATTTAAACAGATTAGAAATGAACAATGATAGCACAGTGATTGAAAAAGAGAAACAGAATCTGGGTTATTTCAATTCTGCCATCTTATGTGACCATTCGGTGTTTTGTGTGTGTGTGTTCAAAATTTAAAACACTGAAACGGAGTGCAAACTTTGAGGTGTAAATTTTGTTTGGAAAAGCGTAACTTTATAAAAAAATTTATTTATTTATTTATTTGACACAGAGAGACAGAGCACAAGCAGGGGGAGGGGCAGAGGGAGAAGCAGACTCCCCACTGAGCAGGAATCCCCTGTAGGGCTCAATTCCAGGATCCTGGGATCATGACCTGAGCCAAAGGCAGACACTTAAACAACTGAGCCACCCAGGCACCCCAAAAAGTATAACTTTTAATATATCATGAACTATTTTACTGAATTTAAATTTTCTGGCATGAAAATTTAGATGAGGTTGTTAATCAAACAGAAAAATATGTGCAAACAGCCAGAATTAGCCTTGAGTACCACACAGTGAAAAACAAAGTCTTAAACTGTTCCTTAAAAATTGGGACACAGAAAATGTGAAGAAAGTAATTTACTATGCAACAATACAATGTAAGGAAATAGACATTACATAGAAAAGATGATCACATTAAAAAAAAATAATAGCAGGAGAAATGACAGAAGATGATTGTGTGACATTACCAGAAGAAACCAAAAGGGCATTATATAAATGCCTTGATAGTTTGCAGAAAGCACTGGACACTTGTTCTAAAGCAATGGATCAAATGATGTCAAAGTTCCCTCTCATTCAGACATTTTTCACTGATTTCTACAGAAGAACTTCTGAAGTTTTTACCTAGTAGTATAGAAATGTATAATTAATTTTCTGATGAAGATATTTAGTTGAAATTTTCAACTGTGGAAAATCTGAATGCCACTGGATTTGATCCTGAATAAACTAACACATGGATGGTATTGTAATTCATGGAAGTTCTGTGAAAGAAAATTATTATAATTCTCTTCCAAACTTATTCACAATTTTGTGCTCGCTTCAGCAGCACATATACAAACTTATTCACAATTTTAAGACTTATCTTATTTGTATATATGTTGCTTTATATGACATAAACTTTATATATAGGTTTAAGTTCTTTCTCTTTTTTTTTTTTTAAAGATTTTATTTATTTATTTGAGAGAGAGAATGAGAGATAGAAAGCACGAGAGGGAAGAGGGTCAGAGGGAGAAGCAGACTCCCTGCTGAGCAGGGAGCCCGATGCGGGACTCGATCCCGGGACTCCAGGATCATGACCTGAGCTGAAGGCAGTCGCTTAACCAACTGAGCCACCCAGGCGCCCAAGTTCTTTCTCTTTTAAAAACATATATTAATGCAATTAGAAAACATTGATCCATCACTTTTCTCCTTTTCTGTACTGCACTATTTTCTGTTTTATTTTTATGATAGATATGAATTTCAATAAAAGAAAAAATTCGGTGTCTTTTATGGCCATTATTATTAGTTTAATTTCATCCTTATTTCTTTAATAAATAATAGTTATAATATTTAATATTTATTTGATAAATATTTAATATTTTTGAATATAGTTGATATACAATGTTACATTAATTTCAGGTGTACAACATAGTGCCTCAATAACTCTATACATCATGCTGTGCTCACCACAAGTGTAGTACCATCTGTCACTATAAAACGCTATTACAATACCACTGACTGTATTCCCTGCGTTGTACCTTTTGTTATCCTGACTTATTTTTCCATAACTGGAAGTCTCTATCTTCCTTCACTCATTTTGCTCATCCCCACCCCTCCCTTCTGGCAGCCATTAATTTGTCCTTTGTATTAATAAGTCTCTTTCTGCTTTTTCTTTGTTTATTCATTTGTTTGGTTATTTAGTTTCCATATATAAGTGAAACCATATGGTATTTGTCTTTCTGTGTCTGACATATTTTATTTAGCATAATACCCTCTGAACCCAACCATGTTGTTGCAAATGGCAATATCTCATCTTTTTTATGGCTGAATAGCCAAGATATGGAAGCAACCTAAGTGTCCATTGATAGATGAATGGATAAAAAAGATGGGGTATATATTATACAATAAAATATTACTCAGTCATCATTATTTCTCAAAACAATTTTGTCATATAGAGGAGAAAGCTGTTAAAAAATGATTTGTTTAGAGTGTCAAATATGTTAGCTATGTTACTGATGCCTGGCATATAGTTTGCACTTAAATATTTGTTGAATGAATAAATGAATTAATATTGGCTATGCTGATGGTCAGATTTATGAGCATTTTCTTTCCTTAAAATCATTCATTGGAGGCCTAGGGAATATCTTGCTCCCTGTTGAGTAGATTGCACCTATTCAACGCATATTCTCCTTACAGCACCAAAATAATCCTTTTAAAATCTAGCTTAGATCATGCCACATCTTTGCTCAAAACGCTCCATTGACTCCACCCCCCCATTCAGAATCAAATCCGAAGTCTGTATGGTGGTACAAAAAGCCCCTACATAGCCTCTTATTTCATTCCTTTTGGACTTCTCATTCCAGCCACACCAGCCATTTTTCATTGTTGTTCTTTCTATATGAAATGCTTTTCCCTAAATTCCTTCAGCACTTTTCTCAAATGTCAGCTTATCAGATAGCCTTTCCCTAACCTATTTAAACAAGTAAATTCTCACCTTATCTCCATACTGTTTTATTTTCCTTCATAGCATTTGGCACTTCGTAACATTTGTTTGGTCTTTTCCTTTTGGAAACATAAGCTCAATGAGAGTGAAGACATTGTATTGTTCTGTATGTTGAACAAGTGCCTGGCATATAGGACGCTCAGAGTGACAGTCTTAAAAGTATGAATTTGACCATTTATCACAGAGGTAAGATGTTCTTTTAGTGATTGATAAAATACAAGAAATTTTCAACTTTTCATGTGTTTGTGGGTCCTGCTCCTGGGGTCCCAGAGAATGTATCCTTTAACATTTACCAAGGTCAAAATGACTCTGCAAAACTTCAAAGTATGGACTTTCTTTCTGCGCCAGACACATATTGTACATATGCTTTATTAAAAAAAAAAGCCAAAAAAGAGCATTCCAAACATAAAGATAAGAAAAAAGAAAAAAAATCTCCCTGGTTCCCATAAAATTAAAGTCATATAGCCTTGCACATATTAAAAACCTAAGATAAAGTCTTTAACGTTCTGGAATGTCCTTCCTCAGGATGATTTGTAACTTTTTATGAAAAAAAAATATATATATAAAACCCTGGACCAGCTGTTCCTTCCCAGGAGCACTCCTTTCTTTGTGAAGATTGTGTTTCCGGGCAACTGTATTCACTTGGGCTTGAATAAAACTCTTTTCCTTTCTCTTTAAAATTTTAAGAAAGCTTTGTTCAATCTGCCTGGACCTGACTATATAGTTATTTATTAATGCGGCTGGACTTGGATTTTAGATCCTTACCTAGACAAATCACATATGTCCGAAACAATGAAAATAGTGCAAACTTTTGCACCCAGCAAAACAGCTTTCAACTGGATTATGGAAAGTATTCTGAAAGGCTTTATCGAGGATAGGAACAGTCAGTCACGAGGATGAACGGTTTTACCGAGAGACAGCCGGCTAGCTGTAGCAGCTTCCCAAAGCCGCACTAGGAGGGTGGAGAAAGGGCGGAGCCAGCAGACAAGGACGTAACCAGGCGGAGCTGGTGAGGTGAGCCGAGTTGAGCTGTTTTGTCCCTCTCTGCCCACCATATGGTGAAGAACTCAGACGGAGAAGGTCACAGATATGGCGGCTGTTAGGGTAAGTTTAAAAAAAAAACAACAAAAAAAACCTTCCTTAGTTTCTGGGTGCAGATAGCATTCTAGTAACTATAGAAGGGATCCTCCTAACTTCAGAGGGGAGCCCCACAGCAAGAGGCGGGGTGGAGGTGGGGTTGTGAGAGAATTGACAAGGCCAGGGAGTCTTAAACGTTTGCAGCCTCCAAACACCGACCTCTCCCACTTGGATTTCCTGAGCCTGGGACAGTACTCTCTCCTCCGTCCCCTGCAGTTAACTGTTTATACAGCGGCATGGTGAAAAGTGGGGAACGGCTGGGTAAAAAAGGCTGGCTTGGCGACAAGCAGCAGCAGACTTGTGGGTCTTGAAATGAAACAAAGAGTAAAAAATCCTGGGCATTCGACTGGGCGCACAGGGCAGAGTCTCATGACCCTTTTAAAGACTTTGTTCAAACATTTGGAGGTGAAATAGACTAGGATAGAGACATCTCAGAGTCTCTACGCAGTGCGCGGTGTTTGTATTCACTGTTGTTCCTTTCCGGGTTTGAATAATAGGTTACCTAAGTTTCTTTTGAGTTCTGTAATGGGGAAAGATGCCTTTACTTAGGAATCTATGTACCGGAAGTGACTCAGCTAGCTGCTAGCTGCTGTTCCCTAAGTAGGTTTCAATAGTAGTAGTAGACAAATATCTACAGGTGGGTATTTGTAGCGGGTTTTAAGTGTAATTGCACTGCTTGCAGAAGATACAAATATGAATAATTCAGTTCAGCCAAAGTTTAAGGTGACTCAGTATCCATCTTGATTGACCATTCTTCATTTCAGCATTTCTGGTTCTCATAACTTATCGGAATTATCATAATAGCCTTGTCACTGGACTCGCAGTCTCTAGCCTAGCTCTCGTGGAATCCATTTTCCCTTAACTGCCAGAGTACTGATAGTAAAATGCAAATCTGATTATACCCCTTTCCTACTTAAAAACCTTTATTGGCACTCATCATCTGCCCTCTGGGGTCAGGTCAGACTCCTGTGTCTACAACACCCAACCCTGCCTTGGCTTTTCAGCTTCATCTATTGTCTCTTAGGAAATTTTTTTAACATCTGTACTCCAAGCCTTTACCCCTGCTATTTCTCTGGACCTGATGGGAAACATCCTCATCTAGTTAGTTCCTATTTAAGTCCATTCGTTCATTTAACAGCTATTTGTGTACTGCCTCCTCATATACTAAGCACAAAATGCGTTTTCCAAGATAGTGTTCCCTACTTCCACAATCTAATATAAATAACTCCTTTTTGTGCTTCCGGAGGACCCTGGGCATACTTTTACCTTAAGACTTATCACATTTCAAATAATAGACTACTTGCCTGTTCTACCCTCCTATAAGCTGCTTGAGGACAGTAATTATGATATTAATTTTTGTATCCCTAGCACAGGTATGACTTACATTAGGTACTCAATAAAAGCTACAGGAATAAATATATGCCAGGCAATGAAGTAGTGTACTCTGTGATTCAGAGCAAGAAAAGTGCCTTGCCTCAGAAGTAGAGAGTGATCTGAGGGTTCAAAAGAGAGAACTCAAACCTGGTTGAGGAGAATAAAGAACGACTTCATGGAGGCGGTGCAGAGACAGAAGGAATAGTCAGTGGTGAAAAGCAAACCAGAATAGAGTGTTGTCACTGAAGCCTAGAGGAGAGAGTTGAACAGTCTTTTGATTTAGCCATTGATAAGTCACTGGAAGCTACCATTTGTTAAGTGTTTACTACAAGATCAGGCACCATGCAAAAGTACTTTACATATGTTATTTCACTTAAATCTCAAGACAACTTTATCTTGTAGTTATTATGATCACCGTTTTACAAACGAAAAACTAAGGTTGAGAGAAGTCAAGTAAATTGCCCCAAATCGTAATGCTAATAAGAGCTGAAGTGAGAAAAACCAGTATCAATAAAGTGATAGAGGGAGAACCTAGATTGTAAGGGGTTAAGGAAAGGCTAAGGGGTGGGAAACTGGCCTTAATTTAACACTTACTTTGGCCAGCTGCTCTACAATTATTATTTCATTTTAGTCCTTTTGATGACCCTAAGAAATGGGGTAGTATCCCCATTTTATTTATGAAAAAACAGGCTTAGAAAAAGTGCTTGCTCCAGGTCATATTGCTGCCAAATGGCAGAGTCAGGTTCAAATGCAGGTATATTTGGCTCCAAAGTCCATGATCCTTCCATTACTCCTTGCTTCTCAAAGGAAAGGTACATTACTCTTTGGAAAAGTGTGTGGTGAAAGGAAGGAAATAAATCTTGAGATACAGGTAACAGATCCCAGAAAAGGTGTCTTTTCATTTAAAAAAGTCATGAGACTGTCAATTATATCTTGATAAAACTGGAAAAACAAAGTCAGGAGGCCTGAGCCGGTTTGGTGACAAGGGGAAATGTGCCAAAAACTAGTATAGAGGTGGGATGCATGGGAGGCTCAGTCGGTGAGGTGTCTGCCTTTGGCCCAGGTCATCATCTCAGGACCCTGGGATCGAGTCCCACATCAGGTTCCTTGCTCAGAGGGGAGCCTGCTTCTCCCTCTGCCTGCTGCTCTCCATGCTTGTGCTCTCTCCCTCTCTGATAGATAAATAAAATCTTAAAACTGATATAGAGGAAAGATAATAATTGTTATCACAGCTAGCTATTAACCTATTAAACATTTACTGTGCTAGGCATTTTTGCCGAGCATTTTACGTGTATTTTCTCATTTATGCTTCACAGTGGCCCTATGAGTAGGTAGTTATCAGCATTTTACAGGTAAGGAAACTGAAGCTTAGAAAGTTTGAATAACTTGCCCACAGTCACATGGTAGTAAGCAGTAGAGCTGGATCTGAAATTACATGATCTGAGTCCCGATTATGAGGCTTAAGTTTGAGGAAGCATTTGTGAGGCCAAGGTACCAAAAGGGTGATCTGTGTTCATTTTGAAGCCCCAGAGTTTAATAACAAAGAGTAAGATAGAGGGGATCCCAGCAAGTTGGCAGAAAACTCTAAAAAATATTACATAAATCTTCAAATAGAGCTTGTTGAGCAGATATGATAGTGGAACACTGACGTGGAATTACCCTCAAGGAATAAGGACTATGTTGATTTTTCCTCCTGACTTCTTGAATCAGAAAGAATGGCTTGAGGGCTGGCCTTCATTTAAAAGGTTTGGTAGGAGAGGCACCTGGGTTGTCCAGTCAGTTAAACGTCTCTTAGTTTCTGCACAGGACCTGTCGGGCTCTGTGCCGAGTGCAGAGTCGGCTAAAATTTTTCTCTCTCTCTCCTTCTGCCCCTCCCCACCTCTCTCTCAAATAAATAAATCTTTTTAAAAAAAAAGGACTGGGAAGAATATAGTAGTGTTAGACAAAAGCCAAGTTTCTTTCATGCCAGAGGTTGAGTGAATTTGAGGAAAATGTGAGTCTCGAAAGAAAATTTACGATAAAATACTTATTATTAAAATGTGGGGCACCTGGGTGGCTCAGTTGGTTAAGCATCTGTCTTTGGATCAGGTCATGATCTCAGGGTCCTGGGATAGAGCCCTGCATCGGGCTCCCTGCTCAGTGGGGAGTCTGCTTCTCCCTCTCCCTCTGTCCCTCCTCCTGCTCATTCTCTCTCTCTCTCTCTCAAATAATAAATAAAATCTTTAAAAAAAGAAAAAACTAAATATGGCTACCATTTATTGAGCACTTCCTGTGTGTCTGACACTGTGCCAAGCTGTTGATGCACATCATTTCATTCTTATGAAAAGTTTTCAAATGTAGGTAATTTTATTAGCTCAAAGAACAGGAGTAGAGCAGAAAGAAAATCAAAGGTGCAACAGGAGGTTGTAGTTAGAAAAAAGCTTGTTGAATGTATGATTTTAGCTATTAGCAAGTTCTGGGTAATGGTAAATTCAGAGTATACTCATGGAGTGGATAGCCACAGTGGAGTGAATATGAAGGTCTACGGAGGTAAGGTAAAAGAGTGAGAGGAGGCTTTTGGGTGGTTTGTCCACAAGTATATTAAAATCATTCTTAGTTAAAGCAGGATTTAGAGTATAGAAGACTGCTAACCAGGATTCTAACTCTTTGATGTGATGCAGTGACCAGGAGGCAGGTAGATGATAGTGCTAAGAATGAATAGATAGATGGTATAAACTTCAAAGTAGCAGAGTTACTTTTATTTCTTTTATATAAACTTTTTTTTAATTGAAGTATAGCATATATCCAGCAAACTACACAAGTCATAAACAGCTTGGTAAATTTTCATAAAATGATCATGTTTATTGAATCAGAACCCAAATTAAAAAAAAAAGAGAGCATTACCAACAGCCCAGAAACCTTTCCTTCTGTTCCCCTACATTGTTATCCTCCACCATAGATTATTTTTGCTTATTTTTGAGCTTCAGATAAATGGAATGGTGCAGTATTTACTGTGTTATGTCTGGCTTCTTTCACCCAATATTATGTTTCTGAGATTCAGCCATTATGCATGTAACACTAATTCATTTTTATTACTGTATGACATTTAAGAAGGTGAATGTATCATGATTTATTTATCCATTCTACTCTTGATGAACATTTGAATTATCTTCAGTTTTGAGCTATTACACGAATAATGACCCTGTGAACATTCTTCTGTATGTCTTTTTGGTGCACATAAATGTACATTTGTGTATACACCTAGGAGTGGGATTGCCAGGTCATAGGGCATGTAGCTTTGGTAGATACTGCCAAATAGTTTTTCAAAGTGGTTATACCAATTTACATTCCATTCAAGAGAGTTCTAGTTGTTCTACTTCCTCACTAATAAGAACAGAGGTTTTTACGTAAGGGTGAAGAAGTAATAGCTTAGAAGTAGCATTGGATATCAGGAAGAAGAAAATTAACCTCCTTTCCCTGAGACACTTTGAATAGCCTCCTCTTCAGGATTGTAAGGGAAGTAGAGACCTCACAGAACAGTCATGTTTCATTTCAGGCAAGGAGAGGGGAGGGTAGACACAATGCAAGGACTTTCGGAGTTTTGAGGAATAGCA